GTAAAGCTCCCTTTTGGGCTTTACCTTGTTAACATTTTTAGTTTTCTCACATTCCCTAAAAGAGAAGTTCGAAAACTACCGAGTCTTTCTGATACTGTTGGCTTTACAGGACTTTAAACACAGAAAGTTCAACCTAAGGCTCTGTCAAACATGACTCTTCTGGAAAAAAGGCCTCCAGACCTAAAGCTGCTCCACCCCTCATGGCTGGTATCCTTGGAAACTAGAGTCATGCCTTTTCAAACATATGACATGAAGGTCTCTTTAGGATGTCAGGTGTTGCAGTTTTAGTGCGTAACAAAGGTAGAAACTCTTTGCTTCTTCTTGAACTTTTAATTAATCAAAAAAAGAACTAGGGATCCACTAAAACTATTATCGATCAAATGTGCTTCAGCCGGTTAAAAATGTTTATTTGAGCTGTCTCCTAGATTTACAAAAGGAGGTTTGGGGTCTTTGGGGCAAGGCTACAGAAATCCGATTTTTTTCTTTAAGGAGCAATAAGTGATAAATCTTGTGTGAAGCAAGATCATCTCAGTTGTCGCTGAGGATGGAGGATAATTTCCTCCAACATCTCCTTTGAGACCCAGAGCAGATTTAGCACGGTGCTTACTTCCTGGTTCTTCAGTCAATCACATGAGAGTTACCAGGGTTTTAATTGCAGCGTGGCATTTGATGTTAGGTGAGAGCTGCAGCCAGAAAACATGGAGGCCAGAGAGGAGGGAGAGAAATGCTGAAGGAACTGCCTTTTTCTCACTGCTCTGCACTCATCTAGATCTTTGATTCGTATTCCTCTCTGTAGACCTGCAGACCTGATGGTGATGCCGGGGGCGGGGGGATCCTCAGGCAGATGTTGGGTGAAATCCTCTGTTTTAGTTCTAGCCTGTCCTCAGGAGCTGCTGCTCCTTCTAGGGCCCAGACCCGGTTTAGGTTCACCTGTCAGCGCTGAGCTGCTCCTGGCGATGGTCATCAGGGATGTTTCCTTCTTCCCTGCAGGGAGATGAAGAAAGGGAACATTTTCCTGGCAGCGACTATGGCTGGGAAGAAACTGAGGACGTCACTGGGAGCATCAGTGGACCTGGGCCTTACGGGGAAGGACGGAGTGGTCCATCCGAGCCTGGAGGTCAGCACCCACTCGTCTTCTCAGAACCGTCTTGTTCTGGTTGTTCCTGAAGCTCAGTGACCATCTGGTTCTGTTTGAAGGAAAGCGCCAAGAAGTTGGAGCAGAATGTGAGTCTTTTTGGATCGACGGTGGAGAGCCTGCTCTACAGATATGGAAAGGTAGGCAGGGTTCCCTCTACGGGGTTCTCTCTATGAGGTTCCCTCTACGGGGTTCTTTTATGGGGTTTTTTCTACAGGGTTCTTCTAAAGGGTTCCCTCAACGGGGTTCCTTCTATGGGGTTCTTCTAAAGGGTTCCCTCTAAAGTGTTTTTTTTTTTTTTCTTAAAGGGTTCCTTCTACGGAGTTCCTTCTACGGGGTTCTCTCTACAGCAGGGGTGCCCAACCGGTCGATCGCGGTTTTAAAAAGCACTAATCAAATCATTGTTAACGAGAAGCCAATGTGTATTTTCATAATAATAAAATGAAAAATAAGTATGCAGGGAAACTTTTTTTAATGCATGCTGATTGCTGTGCATGGTTTGCCACAGTTGCTAGGTAACCAGGGACTAATTACATCTGTCACGTCTGATGGGGCTCCTTCTATGGTTGGGCGCACTGCTGGAGTCCTTGATCTGTACAAGCTTTCAGAATCTTTCCCGGATTTTTGGAGTTTCAACTGCATCATTCACCAACAACAGCTGTGCGGCAATATTTTAAATATGAAGCATGTCATGGACGTTGCGATAAAGATCGCTTGCTCTGTTCAGGCCAGGAGTTTTCAGAGGCGTTCATTCCATGCCCAGCTCGAGGAGGCAGGTGCAGACCACACTGATCTGCTGCTGCACACCGACGTCAGGTGGCTGAGCCGTGGCAAATTCCCCAAAAGATATTGGGAATTTTGAAAATCATTCTGAAATAGTGGACTTCCCTTCTCCTCCTTCCTGCTTTGAAGTTATCTCTACTAGACTGTTTGTCTGTGTATCAATATGGTGTTTATTTAGATTTTTTTGACTGCACAGCCTTTGTCTGGAGATCCTGACTGCTCTTTGAGTCTGATGAGTGACTGACTGAGAGACAGAGAGAGAGAGATGGTGTGAAGTTTTTGTGAGATAGTTAAGTTCTGTTGTTGCAACCTATTTTTTGACACATTAAGAATTTCCTCATCTGTTGAACTTACTGTTTATTCTTCACCTCGATAGATTGATCTTGGTTAAAAAAAAAAGGTTGGGCACCCCTGCTCTACAGGGTTCCATCTGTGAGGTTTCCTCTATGGGGTTCCCTCTACAAAGTTCCTCTACAGCACAGGTGTCAAACTGGTTCCAGAAAGGGCCGTGTGGCTGCAGGTTTTCTTTCCAACCAAGCAATAGCTCACCAGACTCCATTCATCTCATCAAGGGAGTCCAATCTGAACATGATGACTTGATGAGATGAATGGAGTCTAGTGTGCTATTGCTTGGTTGGAAAGAAAACCTGCAGCCACACGGCCCTTTCTGGAATCAGTTTGACACCCCTGCTCTACAGGGTTCCCTCTACTGAGGTTTCCTCTATGGGGTTCCCTCTACAAAGTTCCTCTACAGCACAGGTGTCAAACTGGTTCCAGAAAGGGCA